AAAGTACTTGACTCTCCTCAGCACACGGTTCCTTTCAGGTGGTTACAATTTCCAATGTGAGTACCAAGCCTGTTGTGAAATAAAATAAGAGTAACATTTTTAAGAGTAAAATAACATGACCGACTGGCCAGAACTACAGAGAAATACCTCTTCAGAGAAAGCCACAGAAACACACAGAACCCAGAGTAAGTTCTCAGACAGCATTAACCCTGTGATTTAACCTGTTGGAGCACAGCTCAGCTCATCATCCCGCCCTGCAATCCCTTGAGAAAAAGCTGCATTTTTGAGTAGCGGCTACTCCTCCACTCTACCTTAATTCAGCTGCCCTTTATTCAACCCTGAGTAAACACACCTCTATAAAAATTGAAATTAGCCTCAAGGACAGTGTTAGGGTGAATTTTAATACAGGTTTGAAGACAGACGGGTGGGCTGTATAGAAGCCCACAAGCATCCGGAGAAGAGTCAGCCATTAGGTGGATTGATGGAGCTTCACTGTGCCACGTTGGGGCAAACAAGGTTTAATAGGCCTCGTTTGTCATTGGCCAATTCCTAGGAAGTCAAACAGGCACGATGAAAGGGGGATGCACTTTAATTGTGTTGATGTGATTGTAGGAGCCATTTTGACCTTTTCCCTTTTCGACATGTACTTGACTTTCCTTATGGACATCCATGAAGGAGATCTTTGCAAGACAGATTTAAAAGAACAATTTCAAATTTCTTTAGTCTCATTCTCCGGTTCACCAACTGCCGTGAATATGGATATGGACAGGGCACTCTGTTGACTTGTGCCTTGGATGCAGACCATAAAAAGGCAAGCCGGCTAGTCCATCTGCCTGCTCCGATGCTAAACTCATCACTTGTCCTTTCTGCTATCGTACCAAATGCAGAAGGCATGCAGAGACCATATGTTACGCTCGGATGGATGCAGTTAGCTCATCATTCTGAGCAGAAGTCAGCAGATGAATGTGGGCAAGTCCATGTTGAGTTTGTATATTTTCCTTTGTACATTTGCATTCCATATGTATATGCATACCCATATGCCATATGTACTGTACATTGCTTACTTGTTTTCCTCTCTGACTCTGATCTGTTTAGGTAGGAGCAATATAGGGTCACAATACATACATCCTTTTATAATCATGCTCTATATTTGATAAATCATGTTCATATGTAAAACTGTGTGGTCATTGGGTGAAATACCTGTGTATAAATTGGTTCTCTTCCAGATACTGGCAGCCCTTAGCGATGTCTCTGGCCACATTGAGAAGGTCCACCATGGTCAGACTGGACGGGTGCTCCTGATCACAGAGAGACAGAATGTAATATTTGTGAATATATCACAGGCAAAAAACAGAGGTACACATTGTGGTTGTAAAGACAAAATTAGTATGTTTGAGTGTTGGCTTAAGGTTGTAATAAAAAAATTAAAATGAAATGCACTATTAAATGACAATGTGCACATGAGCATGATCCAGCAGTCTGTCTCACCAGCCGGGGTCTGGTCTCCCTCAGGAACGTTTTGAGGTCTCCACCAGTCATCAGCTCCAGCAGGATGAACCTGGGCATGGCCTGCAGACTCACTCCTACACAACGCACAATGTTCTGGTGGCTAAACTTACTGCAGGGACAGAAACACCACAGGGAAAAGTGTCAGAAATGGCTTTGTTGGCACAATTTGAGGCAGACCTTTGTTCATTGTCTAATGAACCTACCTGATTATTAGAGCCTCCATGAGGAAGTCCAATTCATCTTGCTCAGAGCAAACTTCTGGAAGGGTCTATTGTAAACAGAAAAATAATATCAGTGCTATGAATGTTTTATATCCAGTAGTTATTATGTTTTGTATGTAGTGCCTTATCTGATTTAATCAGCTGACTGTAGAAAAACAGTTAGTGTATCAGAAACTAGGTGAGAACTCACCTTGACTGCCACTTGCAGTGGACTTGGTTCACCTGGTATCCCCACTGCCAGCCCTTCGTAGAGCTTCAACCGAAAGCACCGTGACCCAGACCCCTTGGAGACAAACAAACACATTTAAATTTACAAAAACAATTTATGTTTTAGACGCTTAAGCTGTAACTTTCACACTAGAAGCAGCCCAGCCAAGAAAAACAATGTATATGTTAATGTATATGTGTATGTCATTGTATATGTATATGTATCATGTGTGTGTGTGTGTGTGTGTGTGTATATATATGTATAGTGTATATATACTGTATATATACTATATATATAATATAGTATATACATATACATGTATAATATATATATATATACATATATATAGTATATATATATCATATATAACATGTATATATATATATTATTAAACATAGTATATATACATATACATATATAATATATATATATATATATACACATATACATATACATGATATATATATATATATATAGTATAATATACATATACATTATACATAATATATATATATATACATATACATATACATATACATATATATATATATATATACATATACATATAATATACATATATATTATATATAATATAGTATATATGTATAGTATATATATATACATGATATACTATACATATATAACACACACCACCACACACACACACATATACATATACATATACATACATACATATATACATATACATATACATATACATATACATATACATATACATGTTTTCTTGCTTACACACAATATACCTCCCATGCTATGGGAGCCATGGAAAAAAAATCTGCACAAGTGATTTCTTTAAAACAGCTTGGCAGACATTCTAAATTAGAGGTTTTCCAGCTCTTCAGCCCACAGAGGCAAATAACTGTCTATGTGTGACATCCTGCTGCAGATGTCAAAGTGTAGAATGTACTTTGACACCAAATTATAGTTTTGATTTTCCCCTTTGTAGCTATTTCACTTGATTCATAACTTGCTTAAATCTAGATGCCAGAAAATATTCATGGGTCCACAAGAAAGGAATTTCTCACAAAGATTAAGAACCAGAATGATAAACTGATGAAAGATGCATTAAAAATTGAAAAGAGCCCTGCAAAAATCATTTCTCAGCCCCTGGGATCACTGCAGTAGACCCATACACTATGAGACTTCACACTTTAATATTTCAGGCTTTATTTAAACTGCTACTCAGACCATGTTGTATTTATGAGTCCAGCATACTTAAATAGTTTGTACTAATTAGTTTTCATTATAATTACAGTGAACTTTGCCATTTGTCGTGTTTGTTCAGATACTGTTGTCCTTGAGTCAGTGATACCACCACAGATGTAGGCAGATGTGTTCAACTCAAACTGCATTTGTTCATAATGGTCCCAAGACACAGTGCTTGCAGCAGTAACAAGATTGATGGTTGTGGACCTTTAATCTGGGCTCTTTTACCTGGTGAGGGAGATATTACGTCGCGGTACTTCCTTCAGGTCATTTACCGATGCCGTCTTGCCGGCGAAGCAGTAGTTGGGGTTGTAGTCGGTCATGATGGTGGAGGCCCGCAGCTTACTGAGCTTGCAGTCTGGACTCTGCAGCTCCAGCTGAATAGACTGCAGCTCTGTGTGTTTACGCCTATACACTGGCAAGATGAAAATTAAAGATGAATTTCATTCGACTACTGAGATATCCACAATTTAAAAACAAACAAAACCTTGAACCCATCTTCTTGTAGAAAATGACTGCTGGCAGCCAAAGCACACAAAGTGGAAAGCTTTTACACTTATTATTTCTCTAAAGACCTTTTGCTTGTACAACAATTTTTATGAAATAGAATTCCTTTGTGTCTGTGAAATATTGATTTCTCTCTATCTGATGCCAGATTTTTTTTTCTAAAATATTCAGATACATAATGTTTCAGAATTAAACCCTCGACATATAAAAAGGTCTTGTAAATGTGTGCATCTAAAAGATATAATACTGTATCAGAGAACATAGCAACAGTACGCACAAAACCAAGACAACTTACACCTCCGAACAACAGCCTACTATATGAAGACACTGCTCCCTCTCTCCCTTTCTCCCCATCTCTCTCTCACACAGCCCCCCCCCCCAAACACA